GTATCAGAAGTTGATAGGGAAATTATTATACCTCAACATGACCAGGCCTGATATATCCTTCAGCACTCAGACCTTAAGTCAATTCTTGCAACAACCAAAGAAGTCACATATGGATGTTGCACTAAGAGTGGTGAAATATCTAAAAAGACAACCTGGACAGGGAGTATTATTAGCCAGTTCCTCTGATCAAAAGGTTACTGCATTTTGTGATGCAGACTGGGCATCTTGTCCACTTACCAGGAAGTTTGTAACTGGATACATGATCAAAGTAGGGAGTTCTCTTGTGTCATGGAAAGCTAAGAAGCAAACCACAGTTTCAAAAAGTTCAGCAGAAGCTGAATACAGAAGTCTTGCAGCTACTGTGTCTGAACTAGTCTGGCTGCTTGGATTATTAAAAGAAGTAGGTGTTGAAATGCAATTACCAGTTCTGATATATTGTGATAGTAAAGCAGCAATACAGATTGCTGCAAATCCAGTGTATCACGAGAGGACCAAACACATTGAGATCGATTGTCACTTTATAAGAGAAAGGTTGCAACAAGGCTTAATCAAAGTCAATTACATACCTACCAAAGAACAGCCTGCTGATATAATGACTAAAGGACTATCCAGACTGCAGCATGAACATCTTATATCCAAGCTAGGAATGCTAAATATTTTTGCACTACCTAGCTTGAAGGGGAGTGTTGTGATATGAAAAGCTAAGTAGTGAGTTAGCACGGCTATAGTTAGGGGTAAACTAGTCATTTCCATCAGTTAGTTATAAAAGTTGAGGTGTGAAGTTAAAAAAAGTCTTGAATAATGTTTTTCTTACTTGTTGTAGGTAAGTCTTTTTTTAATTTGTTGTTTTTGAAGAAAATAGGTTGATTTGAAAACATTTTCTAAATCAATATTTAAGTTAACCAAACATCATGAATCATTTTCCAGAAAATGTTTTCCTCGTACCAAACACTGTAATAAGGGTGTCTCTTCCTTAATTTTTTGTCAAAACGGCTTTGCTTCCTCTGCCATTCTTGTGGATTGTTGATTGAAAAGAAATATTCTTGCAATCTCTTTTATATTAATGGAGGAATATGCTTGATGAAATTTATAGTTCTTTTTCATGTTTATTTGATATCTTGATTTAAGTTTATTATTGATTTAGGATTGTACCTTTTCTGTTATATATTGTCCATCTATGAGATTCATTAATATTCTTGCAATCTTTTTTATATTAATGGAGGAATATCCTTGACGAAATTTATAGTTCTTTTTCATGTTTATTTGATATCTTGATTTAAGTTTATTATTGAATTAGAATTGTACCTTTTTGTTATATATTGTCCATCTATGAGAGATTCATTTAGTTTTGAACGGAAAATACAACAAGTAATTTACTTGAGATGTACAACATGAACTGTAGATATTGTAGAGCAAGTTATCAAACATCTAATTGTGTACACCAAACAGAATCTTAAAAACGAAAACAAAAAACAAGAGCATAAACTTGAATGATTATGTTCCAACTAACAAGTTTAATTTTCTGTTGTTCAATTTATGAGCGTTTCTTGCTTCCTTAAACAAAATTAAGTAGCATCATAGAGTTTTTACAACATGCAACGATATAATCTTACTTCCTAGTACGGAAAAACCATTTGTATAAGGTTCGAAATGGTGAATTGAGGTTGAGTAGACCAATGATCCTGTAGTCATTTGGCCAACTATTGAAAGAAAAAGCTTGCATCTGCTTCTCCTAAGTAGTTGCCAATACATGTATGATTCTACAACAACCTGCAATCAAACTTCATACATATCAGAAGCTAATTAACTGTTAATCAAAGATCTCTATAATTAATCTATCTCCTCAACAAGCTAAGTGTCACTAAAAATGATCATTGTCATATTCACTTGTGCCTTGGTGTTCTTTACTCTTACTTTGTCTAGCAGGTTACCGCGTTTCATGAAGAATTTGGAAAGGTGTCGGCATCTATGAAGGAGGACGGAGGTGTCTGATGGAAAGTTATCTAGAGTGTTTTTCAATGGGCTAAAATATTGAGGAAGATAATGGAGATGGCTAAAAGGGGAAGGATCAAAATTCTGTTTTGCAGCAAGTTCAGGGTTTTAAATTTGAACCAAGTAGAAGAAAAGTTCAAGCAATAAATCAATTGGGTTCAGACCCAATTATTCTCGAGTCGCAAACATACTTGAAACCTAAGTTGCTCGGACTCTTCACTTTTGGTGCCGCACTCATGTCGATACAACATGGGTGTGGGTGTGGGATCCGTGTCCAATTTGGTCAACAAATTTTGGGTACTTTGACTGAAATCGATGGAGAAAGTCTGGACAATTTTAATGATTCTGATAATCAATACAAAAGCTAAGGTAAAATTGAAGGAAATAGAATACCTTTTATATAGAAATTTCTATGTCACTCCTTTTTCTATAATCTGCTTCCAAGATTCTCCTCAAGTTTTCCACATAATATCTCATAATATGGGTTTTATAACTCTATTTTTAGATATTTTAATTTTTTTTAGGAGAATCCCCGCACCTGTATCCATACATGGATCCATATCCCCGAATCTTAAAAATTAGATCATGAAGGATCCGACTTTTAGATCCGCACCCGTATCAGACACCCGCACCTGAGTCCGAGCAACTTAGCTTGAAACATGTGACTCAAGAACTGGAGAAGAAGGTGTAACACTGATTCACCATCGCAGACGACAGCAAAGTCGACTAGCTTCAACACAACTTCAGTAGCAAAATCCGAGGGACAATTCAAAAAGTTGAATGATTCAAAAATTTGCACGAAAAAGAGAGCCAATGTTATGTTTCAGATGTGATGAAATATTTGGCCTCAATCACCGTTGTAAAAATAGGCAACTTAGCCTATTGATCATTTAAGAGGCACCCAATACATATAAAGAAGAATTCTTTGAGCCTACCAGAGAAAATGTAGTTGAATGGGAAACAAAGGGTACTAGTTTGGTGTAGAATATGAATTCGATTGTGGGCCTTACATCATGTATAAGTTGTTGTTCTTATTGACGAGGCAAAATTTAAGAGCTAAATACCAGTTTAATCCCCTACAGGTTGGTTTCAAAGTAAGCCCCCATCTACCTATTTTCCAGGTAAAATGTTCATTTCTTATGGAGACATAACCAAGAAAAATTTCCATGTAAATCTATAGTTTGCTTGCGAGTTGTGTGCTTTTGGTTTACATCAAATTGAGAGAAAGATCACGTAAAGAATAAGGTATCCTGACCCCTTAAAATAAAAATATTAGAATTTAAAATTGAAAGGGAAGAGATAACGTTGCTGCCGACATATAGAAGTGAACAATGTTTTATAGGCAGTTGAGTAAATGGAAGCAACCAAGGTCACAGAAAATGAAAAATTTAAATCACTAGAGAAAGAAAAAGAAATTGATCTTCCTAAGTTGCTTGGACTCTTCAAAAATGTCAATGAGTGCGTGTCGGATTCGCCAAAAGTAGTGTATATTCGACACGGATGCGGCATCAAAGTGAAGAGTCCACACAACTAAGGCCTATGCTCAACCTGAAATGATTCAAACTTTTGAAAAATGAGTACTTCTTACTAAAGTAGGACAGTTATTGTTAACTTTAAAATGATGGTAACATCTACCTTCTAGGGATGTCAATGGGGTGGGTTTAAGCCTATGCGGACAGGTTTAAAGTTGTGCGCTGCAGGGCAGGTTGAGGTAATTTTATTAAAATGATGTGCGGCAGGGCGGGTTGCGGGTTTTATGTTTAAGTCTTACTGCTAGGATAGAATTGCTCCATCTTCTGCAACGCTTCTTAGCTCCTAATTTCAATCTGGATGACTTAAAGTGTTTAACACCTTGGGGAATAACCAGTTGAGTAGAAGTCATAAATTTTGGAGGAATACATGAAGTATTTATTTTGAATATTTCAGTAACATTCCAAGATTAGAATTAATAATTCAATTTAAGTAGGAATATCCGGGTTGAAAATAGAAAAATAATTCTACGTGAGGCGGGTTGAAGCCCTTTGCGGGTTTAGACCAAATCCACACCGCAACAGCCCTGCCCCACTGCCATCTCTACTACCTTCTCAACTATGGTTGTGCCAGTTGTTTAGTTAAGCAAATCTGGGCCATTAAAATTTAGAGAGAATAACTAGTGAAAAAGAGCCTAATACACTCAAGAGTTAAGATTATAGAAGTCAAACACTTCCTAAAACTGTTCTCTCCTTCAACTCACTTTTCGCAAGTCAATGGTATCACTAAAGTGAAAGAAGATTCCATTTTTTGATTAACTATAGAAAACTAACAGGAAGCTATCATCCAAATTTTATAATATAAGAAGTTAATTAACTGTTATTGAATGATCTCCGTAATTCAACTATCTCCTTAATAAGTGTCACTAAAAAACGATCAATATTTGACAAAATAAGCAGAATTTATAAACACGTGAAAAATGCAGCGAAAGAATACTTACAAGCTGTTAACTATTACAACAGGCATTCACCTGAGTTCTGACATCTTTCAATCTTCGTTTGGTAAATCCGGACAAACTAGGCGTTCGATGCAGAGTTCCACATCCATATACTCGTAAATACTAGTAACCTCAACATTAGGAACCTCTGGATATGTGATAGAGTCATTCTTTGGATTGTATATCGCGAAAGTTGATTTAAACGCGAGCAGAATTTCACCTTTATTATACATGAAAAGGGGCGGAGAAAGATTATAGTTCTCAGGATACGTGATGGTATACAGTTTTGTCCAAGATGCTTTAACTCCATATTCCTTCATTACCCACACATCAGAGTGAGTTCTCTCATCATTATTACAGAGGACCGAAAGATCACTTCCCAACAATCCAAGCTTCAAACCTCCTTCTTTGTTGTCGCTGGGCAGCTCCACCTTTCCCCATTTCTCATCAACCAAATCAATAGACGTGATCCCCCAACAGTGTCTATGCTTAGTAATCCAATGAACTTTACGATTCACAAACTTAGCCGAACCACAGTAACTCACCCAGGTTTAAAATCTTCAAGTGTTTTCCAAGAATCACTGTTTAAACTATATATTGCGGCCTTGAAAAAGGCCTCAGTCATGTTACAAAAAATACCCACTACCTTATAATCGTGATGAACCTCATCATATCCAAAACCATAAATGGACCAGCACTCATGTATCTGTGTAGGCACATAGTCAAACACTTTGTTGAACTTTCTAATAGATGGATTCCATATCACCAACCCATCAAACCCATCGGAAAGACAAACCAACCCATTAACAGAACCCAAAATATAGAGACATTGAGGTGGATTGTTCATGGGACAATCCAAATCAAGTGCCTCATTAACAGAGTTATGAAATAAAGAGCTAACAGAACAGTATTTAATATTAGTATATTGTGTATCCAATTGCAACAGAGATATATGGCGGGTATAATCCTTAGCAGAAAAACTAAGATGGGTTTTCACAAATTCAGGGCTGGAAATCAAATTAAACCAATATTTGGAAACACATTTGAACTGTAAGAGGTATTTAACTGGAACCCTTACAAGAATTGCAATGATCAGTTCTTCTGGCAAACTCCCCATTGAATCTTTGCTTGGAATTTCAGTACCCTTTCTCAGTTCCCACCCTTTTGGCCGTCGATGAGAAGCTTCAGATTTCATTTTGGCTTGCACAAATTCAACAAAAAATTGATCGAAAGCTGAATTTGCACAAATTCAACATAAAGAGTTTGCACAAAATTTGCTGAAGTTTTTGCTGCTGGTTATATCCTGCTCTTATATATCTTTTTTTTTTGTTGATAATATAGGGCTTTTTTTTATGCAAGAGATTGTTTATGTGGACATTTCTTTTTGTCAACTAAATTTAGGTGATATATACATATTTTTAATAAGATTTTAAATATATTTGTTGTATTCGTCATTTTTAATAACTTTTTTTCTCCTTTTGAATTATTTCATGAACTAACCACGTGATTTTGTTGAGAGTTGATCAAATTTTTGTTCAATGTAATTGTTATGTCTTTTTAAAATTTTTGAGATTTTTTTCGTTGAGTTTCTTTTTTGATGCAGTTCTTTTATTGATATTGTTGTGATGCTATGATTTTTGGTGCTAACGTTAGTGTTGCTCCTCTTTCGCGCCTTCAGTCTTTCTTCTTTTGAATTTTCTTTTATGTTCTTTTTCTTTTTAGGGTTCTTGTGGAGTTTCTTATTTTTGATGATGGGTATATTATTAGGGCTAATGGGTAATGAAATTAGGGCTGATGGAGTTTCACATTAGTTGGGTTGGATTTTACTAAATGGGTCAGATATAATACTAAATAGAAAAGTAATTTTTTAATTATAATAAAAATATATACACATGGAGTCATGTAGGCGCCGCCACATTGACTAATAAAATGGTGACATGATAAGTTAACTGTACAAGGGCAATATGTGTCCAAAGTTGGATGGTAAGGACAAATATATCAAAAAAGTATGACGAATGGTAAATATGACCATTTTCTAAGAGTACAAGGACAATTATGACCTTTTTCCGTAATAATAATAATATATAATTACGATTTATATTTAATTGATTAGCCATTTTATTATATTTTTACTAGTAAAATTACCTGCGCCTCGCGTGGAAATTTAATATCACGGAATTTATAAAATAATACTTAAAACCTATCAGTCATTAAACTAAAACACTATATTATCTTCCATACTAGATTACGTAGTAACGAGCATTAATAATGTAAAGGAAAATGAAAATTATAACATC